TTATCACTTCAAAGAGACGCAAAGAAATGAGAAGCACGAGTGAACTGAATAATAGCCGTGATTTACCCGGCATTTACCCCGACCCAGCCCTTCCTATACACTGTCTCTAACCCTCGCCCTGCCTTGGAGAGAAGCTGTTATTTATTCTGGTTGTATAGTTGAAGAAGTAATGCTGAATAAGAATAGGTGACCTGCTCCAGGCCACTCAGATCTAGAATTTTAACTTAGGTCTTGGCCGTCCCATCTTCTGTCCTCTGTCCATTATGTCACCATTTCATAAGCAAATTGAGTTGTATCAGAAATGTTCCTGATCCAGATACACAAATGACAGAAAACTACACAGAAAGACATTTAAAAGATTTTCTCCAGGCATTATCTGGCAAACACACTTCCATAAGACACCCACGCTGAATCTAGTAACGGTGGACAGAAGGAGGGCATAAGGCAGTGAGAACACTGAAGGGAACTGCGGATGCTGTCTGAGTGGCTGAGTTCATTAATATTCACAGACTCGGAGGCCTTAACAGTTGGAAGTGGTCCGGGCTACAATCCAAAATAAAGAAGCTGTAACTCAGAGAAATAAAATGACTTGCCCCAAACATATAGATTTACTTACTGCCCTGACTTGGGTGGGTAGGTGGGATTAATAACCATCAAGTGCTCACATGGACCATCAAAATGCACCTGACACATCCAAGTTGCCTGGGAGATTCCAGCATCCCAGGATGAGAGTCATTCCAGGTTAGAAAGGGGTCAGCTGGGAGCTCTTGAGGCCCAAAGTTTACCCCTCCAGAGGCTCAAGAGAAATCTAAATGATCCTAAGATAACTCAGAATTGGGAATGTGTGGGTTTCAAACAAATGGGTGACAAATCCCATGGAAACATTCTGCAGTACAGCCTCAGAGGTTGTCAAATGCCAAAATAAGGCAACTATCTGTGTACTTAAATTTTGCAAAAAAAAGTGTGTGTGTGGATATACCTTTATACGCGAACAGTGATGCGATGGTAAGAACAAGCGTTCATTCTGTAACTATTCCTATTACTCTGTAGCTTTCACGCTAAGTAGACCACAAATATCATGGGATTTGTATAGAACATTAAGATAAATCAACAGTGTTAGGGAAAATGGAAGGCAAAAAAGAACACAGATACGCTATGTTAGTATCTTGGTATCGGCATTAATGCCTTCTTTAATGAGTTGTAATGTCTGGCTTCTGGGCAGTTGTTTTTTTTGTTAGTAATGCATGTATTAGGACTTCAGTCTCTTCCCACCCGATTAGCAGCACGCAACCTCACTGGAATCTAGGAAGGAGCTAATATATACTGAAACCAAATTTGATGCTTAGAAAATCCTTGAGCTGTTGAAAGGCACACCTGTGTTCTTTGGCAGGTGAACTGAATCTCAAGTAAAGAATTTCTGCAAATCTCCTGTTCAGTTGGCCAAACTGGTTTTCACTCCTATTGAACAACTTGGGGTTGGGGGATCCTCTGTTCTTCCTTAACAACCATCATGATGCCAAAGAAAATAACTTCCAACACCAATCCCAGTGACTTAGGCCTCAAAAGTGGAAAGGGTCAGTATATTTTAGGGCATCCTATGTCTTCAGGTTGAATTTACTAATTTATAGATCCATGAGTAGTTTTCATATTAGAAAAACATCTAGGATTTTTTTAAAGACAAAATTATTGTTAATTAACATGCTTCTTTGAATAATTTAGAGGAAGCAATGTTCTCAATGTATTTGCTTTTATATTTAAATTAAGAATAGTCTGTCACAAATGGTTAAAGAAAAATTTCAGTGAACTGAATCCTAAAGAAAATAAGGAAGCATTTATCACCTGAAAGATACTCTCACAGGCTCACAGGTGAACCGCAAAGGTGATTTGGGACTCCATAATCTTAAAGTGAAACGAGCCATTTATTCATTACTTCCTTTTAAAAATCTCTCTGTGGTCTAATTTCATTTTTTGGACATTGGATTATGTAGTACGCTATAACACTTTCAGGATTCTCCTGACTAAATTGGTTTGAAAGCTTAAGATAGACATTCTCAACCAAATGCTTATCCATTATACGATATTCTTTAGGTATAAAAAAAGCTTAACATTTTTTCACTCTTTGGTCAGGCACTCACGGTAAATATGCAGTGCATTCTAGGGAAGAAAAAGAAAAGGGTTTAGGGTTGGTCAACCTCATAGAAAGAACAAAGGGTAAAAAGTAAAAGAAAAATTAATCAAGTCCACAGGCATGACGACCCTAGTCTGTTTTACCTGGCAAAGGAACTAATAGTGCTGCTATCGGAATTTAATTTATGGATTGTTTGTGGTATTTCCAATCCTCTTATAGGTTGAAAATGTGTGCCACAATCTTTACAGTAATGGAATATTTCTTTTTTTGAAGTTTCCAAAGAAGAGATTAATATTCTTTCTCCCTGTAATGTACACCATCTGTCATGCTAACTTAACTGTTTGTACGTATATGTGTGTACATGAAGGCTGGCAGGTTAATGCTGTAGTTCTCAGCCTGGCTACACATTAGAAGTTTTAGAAGTACTGCCACCATGGCCACCCCCAGTGATTACTGGGGTGATATAGCAGAGAGAGAGAGAGGAGGGGAATTCCCAAGTTGGATTTCAGAATTTGCTTCCTCTAGAAGCTACACTGCAATGGTGATCTGAGTTTATGGATTTTGTTTTAAGTACAATAGGTACAGCTACATTATATGTTAAATAAGCTTTGGGGACAGGTTGAAAACACCAAACCATTCTTTATGGTTCTTTCTTTAAAACAATGTGCCTTTGGATGCAAACGGTAGAACTTAGAACCAACCAGCTGATAAATTAGGAACTGCTTGAGTCTTAAAGGTCATAGCACTACACTTTGTGTGTGAAAGTCAGGGTTTTGTTTCATAAAAAAAAAAAAAAAGAATCAAATAATTTACTGAGTACCTACTATGGGCGAGACACAGCAGATACTGTCAATCAAGGCCAAGAAATAAAAAACAAAGTTTGTGTAATTTTTAATTTAGGAAACTTTGTAGGGAATGTTATGGTTCTTTAGTTTTTGTGTTTCTCAAACAGTGAATTGGATCAGAAATAGGCAGACAGTTCAGAAAGGAACATGGCATAGAAATAATAGTGGAAATATGCTAGGAGGCAAGAAACCAGATGACAAAAGCACTCAAAAAAGGTAAATCACACAAAAGAGTAGAGGACACTTTGCAGTCACTAAGAGGTGACTGATTTGCATGGCAGGGAAGCTGAGAAGATGTTAGGAAGGTTGATCTTAAGTTTAACCCACCACAACACATCAGGACAGGTGGGGATTGAAAGCAGAACAGGAGGGTACCCATGTCTGCATCCCACCAACACAAGCCAGGAGAGGACAGTCACAGACACAAATACATTCTTCCTTTGGGCTGCGCAATGCATGAGTTGGACTCACTGACTGTTGCCACAGAGCACAGATCACAGCATTTGGGTACAAGTTAAAGAGACATAGATTTGGACTCAATATAAAGAAAAACTTTCTAAAAGGGCTTTCAAAACAAAACAAAGAAACAGCATAGATGTTCTTGCCATGCGCTGAATGCTTGGCTCTGACTGGTGGAGCTGGGCTGAATATTATCTCTGGAAATAGGATGATTGTTCTGAGGGCGGACCATGTCCCTATCCAGCTTCAACAGCCCTTCCAAAACTGAATTTCAATGAGTTTTCAGTCCAGCTTCCTCTCTTTTAAGTCACCTAGTTGCCTCTAATTTCATTCTCCACCCTTTTGGTAAAAAAAAAAAAAAAAAAAACAACAAAGTGAGATGAAGAAATTCTTCACAATGAACCTAAGTGTCCCTACCTAAAGATTGTGAAACAGAGGGTTAGCACTAGCTTTATTGCAGAGAACTGATTGATGGGTTTTAGACCTTTGGGAACTTTTGGCAAAAAGTGAACCCTGAAAGTTCATACCAAGAACTGCAAGAACTTGAAGTGGACAAATAATAACCCTATAATAAAGCCAGTGTCTTTGTTCTCTCATTTATGCCCAGATTGACCTCAGAAGCTGGAAGTACACCCTGATCTTTATGTTTACCTTGAGACAGCAACGAAGAAATTCTGAAGGAAGGAAGAAGTTTATTTTTCAATCAGGCGTGGGAGATGGAGGTGGTTAAAAAAAAAAAAATCAAACAAGTTACAGAACATTTCCAACGTGGCAGAAGCATCACTTCAATAGAACAGACACACAGAACTGGAAGCTGGAAGGGACCTATAGCACGATCAAGACTGGACGTCTTCGATGGATCCTGCGCCATCCATGGGCTGCCATCTCGAATATTAGCCTGGGCCACACACCTCTTTACCATAACTTTCCGCGTACCACCAGGCCAAAAAGAGCTGCAGAATTCTGAGGGCAAAGCCGGTTTCTAGCCCAGAACCTGCACAGCGATCCGTCCTCGGCAAGTTCAACGGGGTCACCCAAACAAGCGTGGCACGCAAACCTTTAGAGTTCAGCAAACCGAGGGCTGCGTTACCAGACCGTGTCCTTGCTGGGCACACAAAAGGCTTTTCCTGGCTGCTTTTACAAGGGATTGGGGAAGCCAAGCTATTTGCCGTGGGGGAGGGGGAGACTGGGTCGAGGGAGGAGAGGTGGGGGTGCGGCAGGCTGTCCACATCCGGCTGCCAGTCTGTCCCTGCAAGGATCCCGAAAGCGACCGCGTGCTTTCCTCCCAACCGCGGGCGCGGGCCAGCAGCCGGAAGAGAAGCCGGGCGGTGCCCGTGAGCGCCCCACGGGCCCTCGGTGTCCTCCACGGACGCGTCCTGGGCTCAGTTGGCCGGGGCAGCCGGGTGCGGGCCGCGCGCGCCCCCTAGCGCCGGGTCGGCAGGGCGGAGGCGGGTCGGAGCTGGGGCGGGACAGGGGCGGTGGCAGGAGGCGGAGCCGCAGGGCCGGGAGCGCGGGGGGTCGCGGAGCCTAGTGGGAGCGCAATCGAGAGCGCGGCTGCAGCCGGCGGCATGGCAAGTACCGCCTCGGAGATCATCGCCTTCTTGGTCTCCATCTCGGGCTGGGTGCTGGTGTCCTCTACGCTGCCCACCGACTACTGGAAGGTGTCCACCATCGACGGCACGGTCATCACCACCGCCACCTATTGGGCCAACCTGTGGAAGACGTGCGTTACCGACTCCACGGGTGTCTCCAACTGCAAGGACTTCCCCTCCATGCTAGCGCTGGACGGTCTGCATCCCCTCAGCCCCCACCCTCCCTCCTCGATGTCCAGCCCGCAGGGCGCCCTCTCCACCACACGACCCCTGGTGGGACCTTGGGACTGGTCTCCTCCCGGGCCGACTCCGCTCTCCTCCCCCAACCCCAACCCCAGGGCCTGAGGAGCCGGGAGGGTCCCCTGACGGCTGTCCTGCGGGACGCGCCTGTCTGAGCCTGGGAACCTGGGGTGGGGGGCACGCCGACAGCACCGGCTGGGTGACTTCCCGGCGTCGCGGGATGGGGGGAGCTTTGGGGTCCTGAAAGTAGAGGAAGCGCTGCCCTCGTCTCTCGGGGACTGTTAGGACAGAATTCACGCTGCAGGAGTTTGTCTCCTCCACATCCACCTCACCCCCCACCCCAGAGAAAGCTGAGTTTTGATTAAAATGGTATCATTGAAAGCCAAATCCGCTTGCCCCAACTCCATTTAGCTGTTTAGTTGATTCTTTTAAAAGTGGGGGGAAGGGTGAAAGAAACATATTGCGCGCGCGGGGCGCGGGGGCTGTTGTTGTTTCTCTTAAAAAAGCTTCTCAAGTTTAACACTTCCTCCAAGTTTTAGGAAAATAAGCAGCCCTTGATTATGCCGCGCTGAAGCGTCCGTGCGCGGGGCAGGGAGTCTTGGTCCCAAAAAATTTTTGCACCCGGGATTGAGAAATTCTGCGTCCGCGTCTCTGGGGCTCTGCGGACACCCTCGGCTTGTTCTTTTGTAGATGTTCACCTGCCTTGCTCTGCTTAGCCAGGCTTTGTGCTGTATCGTGTAGGAACAACAGGTGACATTCACACAGAACGCTGGCAGCCCGGGTCTCAAAGATTGCTCATGTTCTAGGTTCTTTTCATCCAGGATTTTACAGCAAACGCGCAGAAATTTAAGAGATGAGTCACTTACATTATGAATTTCTAGATTTGAGGTGTTTTCTTTTCCTTTCATTGCCGCACTTGGAGTTTTTACTTGCATAACTGAGTAAATAAAAGACAAGATTTGATTCCCCTAAGATGGTGTTTGGCACGAAAAGCAAACTGTTGCTCAGCGTGGTGTTTGACGGAACCTCAGTACCTCCGTGTAAGGAATACACGTTTGGTTTTAGAAGGGAGGCATCCGGGGCTGCGTCCTGTTTTGTAAAATAAGTACCTAGGACACTGTTTATTCCCGGGCGTTACTCTTGGATTTCCTGTTTTCTGCAGAGCACACACCCAGGTAGATGAACAGGTGGGCTCTTGCTTCTGTGGTTTTCATTCAGGAATATGGGCTTGACAGTTACTGTTGTAGGAACATCCTTCTGTTGTAATTCTATTCTTACCTGAGATAGTGTGCCAGACAGGCACATTTCTTTCTATAGGATAGTTGGGGGACAAGGGAGAGGAGAGGTTAATAAATGCCCCAAGAGGATTACTGAGTGCAGAATAGTTACCCCTTATGCCCCTGAGGTGGGAGTGCAGGTGGTATCTTGCTTGTGGACAGGTGAGGTGGTGGAGAATCATCCTGTTATCAAGTTGTAGTCAGCTGGGAGTGGAGCAGAGAGGAGTCACATTTATATGCCACCCAAATTGCAAAATGGCCTTCGTATGTGCTCATGTGACTAGAAAATGACTTTTAAAAACATGAATGGTGGCTTGGCGCCCATAGCTCAGTGAGTAGGGCCCGGCCACATACACCAAGGCTGGTGGGTTTGAGCCTGGCCTAGGCCTGCGAAACAACAATGACAACT